AAAAAAAATAGCTCGTTTTCTAGAAGTAGTTTGCCAAGTCTTTCTTTGGAGGCACTTCTGTATGGACTGACAAGACCACATTATCAGATGTTGTTGTTGTTGTGTGTGTTAGAACAGACACATGTCTGATCCTCCAGTGGGTTTTCAGAAGCTGTAAATCACACAGGAGAGTATTGTCCATCTTTCTCTCATAGAGTTCCTACTGAATTAAAATCCTTGCCTTTCACATGGTAGAAAACTCCTTACCCACTAGGCCACAAAGATCCCCGTGCTTTCAGAGAGCGAAATCATGTCCTCTATCCAGTCATCTCAATCATGACCTGCCCTTCCTCTCGAGCATGTGTCAGCCATTGACCATTATTATTAATCCCACAAGGGTTTTCACATCCTCAAACGGCTAAAAAGAAAATCAAAAGATGTATAGTTCATGACACATAAAACCTGTATGATGCTCCAAATTCAGTGTGCATAAAGAAAGTTTCATTTCAACTCAGTCACACTCATTCAATTATGCGTTGTAACTGACCCATTCCAAAGAAGGGTGACCCAACAAAGTGTGGAAACTATAGAACAATATCATTGATTTGGCATGCAAGCAAGATTCTACTGAAGATTATCCAAAAACGACTGGAACAGCACATCAGCAGAGAACTGCCAGAAGTCCAGGCTTGGTTTAGAAGGAGTCGAAGTACTAGGGATATTGTAGCTGATGTAAGATTGATCTTAGCTGGAAGCTAAGATCATTGATTACACAAAGGCGTTTGACTGTGTGGATCATAATAAACTGTGGCTGACTCTGAGAAGAATGGGAATCCCAGAAAACTTGACCGTGCTAATGAGAAACCTATAATTGGACCAAGAGACAGTCATCAAAACAGAGCAGGGAAACACTGCATGGTTCAAAATTGGAAAGGTGTACACCAGGGATGTGTCCTATCTCCACACCTTTTCAACCTGTATGCAGAACAGATTATCCAAGAGGCTGGGCTCTATGAGGAGAAGTGTGGAGTCAGGATTGGTGGAAGATCTATTAACAATCTGTGTTATGCAGATGACACAACCCTGCTTGCTGAAACTGAGGAGGACCTGATGCACCTGCTTCAGAGGGCCAAGGACTGCAGCCTTCAGTATGGATTGAGGCTCAAGGTCAAGAAGACAAAGATTCTCACCACTGGACCAATTGGCAGCATCAGGATGGATGGTGAAGAGATTGAGATTGTACACAGCTTTAGTTTGCTTGGCTCCATGGTCAACAGTCTTGGCACCAGTAGTCAGGAAATTAAAAGGCGTATTGCGATGGGAAAGTCTGCTGTTAGGGACCTCTCCAGGGTACTTAAGATCAATGGTGTCACTCTGGAGACTAAGGTGAGCCTGATACAGGCCATGGTCTTTGCAATCACTTGCTATGCATCAGAGTGCTGGACAATGAGTAGGAAGGATAGAAGGAGAATTGATGCCTTTGAGCTGTGGTGCTGGAGAAGAGTATTGAATGTACCATGGACTGCCAAGAAAACAAACAGATTCATCCTGGAGAGGGTTAAACCAGGCTGCTCCTTCAATATGAATTGTATCTCAACGTCAAGAAAACAAAAGTTCTTAACACTGGACTGACAGGCAGCATCATGATAGACGGAGAAAAGACTGAAACTGTCAACAATTTCATCTTACTTGGATCCACAGTTAACACCCTTGGTACCAGCAGTCAGGGAAATCAGGAGACGTATTGTACTGAGGAAGTCTGCAGTTAGTGGCCTCTCCAAATTATTGAGGAGTAATGATGTTAGTTTGAGGACTAAGGTGCATCTGATTCAGGCCATGGTCTTTCTGATTACTTGCTATGAATCTAGAAGCTGGACAATGAATAAGGATCATAGAAAAAGAATTGATCTCTTTGAGATGTGGTATTGGAGAAGAGCCTTAAACATCCCCTGGACAGCTAAAAGAATAAACAGATGTGTCTTGGAGATGGTACAGTCAGAGTTCTTTTTGGAGGCAAACATGGTAAGGCTTCTCCTCACATACTTTGGGCATGTTGCTAGGAGAAGCTATTCCTTGGAGAGGGACATGATGTTTGGAAAGTTGGAGGGTCAGCAAAGGAAAGGAAGACCCTCGACCAGGTGGATTGACATGATGACTGCCACAATGAACTCTAATGTGTCAGGAAATGTGAAAATGGCACAGGGTAGGACAGGGCTTATATCTGTTGTTCATAGGGTTGCAATGGGTTGTACTAAGTTCACTATTTTGGGATGTGTCAAATACCCATATCACTTACTGCCTCTGAAAATCAGTTGGAGGGTCAACTATGAGTCATTTCCAATTCAATGGTACAAAACAACAAACAACACCAACAGAGGCCACCGAATTCCTTCGATTGGGGAACCTCTTCCATCATCGGCAACACTGGCTGAGTCTTTCTCCTGTGTCTACTATAAAGGAACGTACACAGTACATGAAAGGCCCATCCAGCAAGAGGGAATCTCATAAACCAGGGTGAGAGGAGGAGTGGCTTGACTGAACCAGTTGCTGATGAGCTGACCCTGAGTCATGGCTATCCCAGGGTGCTTCAGAAGAACCATGTCCCAGTCTCAGTTTTCAGTGACTGGTTTTTCAGAACCAGTTCACCAGGCCTTTCTCCTGAGGCACCATTGAATGGACTCGAACACTGCCATGTGCTTTACCATTTACACCACCTAGCACCCAAGACTTCAGACAGAGGGAATGTGTGTGGTATTTAAGGACCAGGAAACAGGAAAGACTGAACCGTAATATCCAGGCAGTGTGCCTACATCATGGTTGCACGAGACAGCAGAGAAGCAATTACCCCTAAATCAGGGCAACTCATCAGGAAGGAGGGGTCAGGTTTCTGGGGCTCCTGGAAGGCTGGCCACAGTGTGTTTGTGCCTGATAAGTGGTAGCCTGGGAGATTTGTTTTGACATAAACTATTATTCATTATAGCTTGAGTGCCTTTCTGATAAACCATAAATGTTGACACACACATACATGTACCCAGCAGAGAAAGCCCCTGCTCTCTCCCTCAGCCACAGAGCATCCTTCCTGTCCTGCTGCTGTCCTCAGATAGCCCCTGCACTCACTGATAGTCCCCAGTGGACCTGGCCTGCACTGTCCCCTGCCTGTATACCACCCAGCCCTGGTAACAGACACTGGCACTCTGAGCCGCAGTCCAAGCACCGCTTCCTCACATACCACATGTCCACCACATTCCCATGTGTGCAGGACCATACAGGCTGGCCACGTGTCACCTTTCCTGTGACTCCTCATTTCATAAGATTCCATCCTCGGCTCACTCACCACCAGCCCCACCCTTTGACTCCCCTGTCTCAAAACCTAACCCCCCCAGCCCCCCTCACCCCCCGATAACAAAACAGGACACTGGATGCCACAACTTTACTGATATTGAAGGGTTAAGGGGACACACACCAAGCAGTCAGGATGGTCTGGAAGCTGACATCAGGAGATGCTTCTGTTGGTCACAGCCTCTCTACAGACGCCACCCATGACTCTCCTCACGCCGCCATGAGGGACCATTGCAGTGGGGTCTCCTCTCTGCCGTCACTCCCGCCGGGCCTCCAGACGGTCCAACACCAGCGAAGCCTGGGCCTGAGCATCCTGCAGGAGGCTGGAGACCCGCTGCCGAATCTGACAAGCCATAAATGGTTACTCGCTGCCCAGCAGAACGAGGCCCTCCTCTCGTCCATCCTGTCCTCTCCCAATGTCCCTCCCTAGCCATGTAGCCCCCTTCCTGTCCACCTATGGCGACCAGGGTCACCCTGACCCAGGAACTCTGATTTTTCAAGGTCCTCTTGGCACATATGTGAGGGGCTGTCTCTGCTGAGGTTTGAGGGAAGCCAGACTAAGCATCCCTTGGCAACCTCAGCCTCCCCACCACCCTCTTAGACCTCCTTGTTTAAACACAGCTGTCCCTAAAGGTCCAGGGTGGTGGAACTCCTGGAAGGCCATTCTTTTCTCTTTTCTTTTTTTTTTATTTTTATTTTATTTGTGTGTGTGTGTGTGTGTGTGTGTGTGTGTGTGTGTGTGTGTACCGTCAAACTGGATCTGATACAGGAGGAGATGGCCCCTCCTTCTCTGGCAGAGCATCTGGTGGATTCGAACTGCATATCTCTGAGATTGCAGTGCAGCTTCTTGCCACTAGGCCACCAGAGCTCCCCTAGGAAAGCCATTCTTAAGCTCATTGTCTGGGTGGTGGGTGATGAGTCTATTAAGAGGGAAGCCTTGGAGTGAACCCCAGAGTGAACAATGGAGGTTTAAGACCTATACAGACACCAGCCCGAAAGGGCCAGGATGCCCTACATGGGATCTAAGAAAAAGATGTGAACAGTGACACTTAGATTTTAAAATTATTCTAAAGTCCATAGGCATAGGCAGCATATGAAAGTTGGATGACAGCTGATGGGCACAGGCCTCTTGTGGGCTGATGGCACATCTGGGAACTAGATAGAGGTGGGTACTGTTCTGAAAACCTCTGAATTGTCTTCTTTTTAAAAAAATATAGAATTTTATGTCAACTTTATCACAATGATAATAAAATTATCAGGAACATTTCGTGAGTGCTGGGTTTGAAGTGGTTCTGACAGGTGGTTGACTCTTCCTAGGGCGGCCTGGAACCCTGCTGGGCCGGTGCCTGGTGCCTGGGCTCAGCCAGAGCTGCACCTCGCCGAGGGTGTGCAGAGGGTGCTGGGCCTCTGACAGGCCCCAAACCGTGCAGGCTCAATGGAGAAGGGCATCACCACCACCCTGTCTCATAGAAAACCCCTGAGGGAAGATAACTGTGCCCACCTCAATGCCAATGGAGGCCAAACTAAGTATGCAGCGCTATAAAACAGACCCTAGGCGCCCACCCCGGCCCCACACAGGACACGAGCAGCCCTGCCGGACACTGAGTTTCAGCTGCACATCTGTGAACCTGGTGCTGCATCCGGGCCAGCACTGTCTCCTGCTCACCTGGTCCTTGAAGCTGTCATCAGTGATGTCCTTCAGGTTGGTGAGCACGTTGAAGTAGGCACCAAACACACCGGTTTCTAATGCTTTAGCTGCTACCTGTGCATACGTCCAGGAAGGGGAGGGAAGGAGAGAAAGGGGGGCAGGACTGTGAGACTGGGAAGCTGGAAAAGCGGGGAAGGAAGGGCTGGGAGGTGGACAGGACTGAGTGGGTCAGGGAGGACAGGAGGGGAATAGAAAAAGGGGAAAGAGAAACAGGAAGGAAAAGGGAAGACGGGAGAAGGAAGTAGATAGGGAGGAAGGGAGGTGACTGAGATGCGACATTGGGGAACTTATCTCAGTGACGGATTTGGAACTCAGGCCCAATTTAAGAATCGTTGTCACCACTGGACCCCAAAGTCTCCTGTGCTGCCTCACCTGTACCTGAAGAACGGGCCCTCATACCTGCAGGTCTGACCGGCAAGCCAGGTTCCCACAGAGGGCCAGCTCCCTCAACGGTGGCCAGAGCGAGGCCACTGTCTCTGCCAGGGACAAGGGCACAGCCACTGCCTGCTTCAGCCCATCCTGCATGGCAGCCGTGCGCCTGGAACCAGAAGAGGGTGCCATTGAGGCCAAATGCAGAGCTTGCACCCAAGCTGGGGATGGGGGTGTGGACTAGAGGCACTGACGGTCCCTGCGTGCAGGAGCAGTCAGCACGTGAGGACACGGGAGAGCCTGACTGATCGCACCGATTACATGAGGGCTCGCCACCCCCCACTCATACCTGGGACCCTACAGCCCCTGCAGGCCTTAACACGCACCTCTCCCTTTCCTCTGGTGTGTTCTTCGGCATCTTCAGTGCTTCCTACAGGACACAACCAGAGGCACGTGTGGTGAGTGTAAGATGGGAGCCTGTCCCCAAGACCACACACGTCCCCATGACCACATCTGTCCCCTATTACCATGCTTGTGCTCATGACCGCACTCATCCCCACGGCCACACCTGTCCCATGTGGTCACATCTGCACCTGTGACTGTGCCTGTCCCTGTGTCACACCTGTCCCATGATCATACCTGCCCCCTGTGACCACACCTGTCCCCTGTGTCCATGGCTTTCCTGTGGCCCTGCCTATTCCTGTGACCACACCTATCTCCTCCCTGACTTATTTCAAGTCTTATTGTTGTTGTTTGGTTTTTCCTCAATGAGGATGTTTCCTCTATTGAGGATTCAGCACCCATTTTGCATCTCCTAGGGGTATCGCCAGCAGAGACCCCAAGCTCTGGGCTGAGCTCTGGCCTGCCTTCAAGTGCTGACTGACCAGGGACAGCCTGGAGACCTGGACTGTCCTCCTCCATTACCAAGGGTGCTTCTCTGGCTCTCAGTGTTGCCAGGACAGCTTAAGTGCTGCTGGCTTCTCAGGTTTCATAGAACTGAGTCGAGTCCTTGAGGCTTTACGTTATCTCCATAACATCACCAGCGCGGGTCTTAACCACTCACCTGCTCTAATGTTGCACTCTTTCCCTCCATGTCCGAGAGCGTCCCTCCTGCCAACGCTAATGTCCACCTTTCTGCTTAGGTCTCTCCCTCTAGAACTGGTTCACAGTAAGGATGCTCAACCTTATCCTCCACGTCACTGGTGCATCTGCTAGTCCCAGCCTGCATAATCACCCCAAGCTCTGCATGCCTCTCTTCTGTGGAACCCACTCAACAATTCACCCCAGATGTGCATGTTCTGGAAGCTGACCCTCCCACACGGCTGAGTAATTGAGCAGATCACAATGTTCACTTCCCAGCATTCCATCAATTCCATTTCTGGTTGTATAGCTGAAATGTCTTCTTCAATCTCCCTAAGATTGTCAGTTGCTTTGTCTCTCATCTTGTGAGATTTGTTTATTCCACTCCCTTGGGTCTGAGTTCTGTGAACAGCCATCCCCCCACCTGTGTGCAGGCAGGGACTGCCAGTCTGGCCTGTGACTACAGCTGGTGGCTGCAGAGGATGGAGACCCTGCATGGGCTGCTCCCCTATCATACCCTTATCACCTGTCACCTGTGGCCTGTGAGCAGGTGAGACATTCCCGGGCCACTCCCTGCTGGCCTTGGGCTGGCACTCCTTGGCAGGGAGAAAGGAGTCTGGAGAGTAGTAACAGGAGAGGGTAGGCTGAGGCATGTCCTCTTCAAGTACCTAATTGTCTCCTCTTTCTAGCCAATCTGGTCTACATTCTGCCATCCATCCTACAGTGTTGCTGAAGTGTTGGCCCCATCCCTGTGCTCCTTCAAACCTCTTTTCTGCCTCTCTGCTCTCAAGCACGTACTTGCAGTCACCTCTGAAACCGACAGAGCCTCTGGCGCCCAGGCTGGAGAAGGCTGCAGGCCCTGCACACTCACCAGGTAAGCCGCGAAAGCCTGGGCATCAGTGTCCACCAGCATGGTCAGCGTGGCAAAGGCCTCATGGAACGGCGGGATCAGGCGCCGCATCTCGGCATCCAAGTGCTCAAACTGGCGCCGTCCGTAAGTCATCAGGCCCACCATGGAGGCCAGGGCTGCACCCTGGGGACAGGAGAGCTGTGGGCTCCAGGACACCCAGACCCATGCCAGGTGGCAGTAGGCCTCAAGCATCCAGAAAGGACCTGGATTCCCACCCTCATACTCCATGCAGCGGACCCACAGCAAGGCCCACAGTAAGGCCTCCATTACCCCATCCATGCCGCCATGGTAAAGTGAGAACTCTGCCCCTGTGTTGGCAGTGGAATCAAAGGTGGTGGAGTCCAGGCCTTACAACCTGTGGTGTGATCCCAGAACTCAAGTTCTAACATACTTTTTCCTCTAGGCCCTGGACTCACCATGGCCGCAGTGGCCGCTGCCACAGAGCCGCCTCCTGGGGCTGCCGAGCGGGCTCCCACCTCCCGGATGAAGGCACCCAGGGACTTGTTTGCTAGGCACTGCTCCGGCTGGCCTTCTGGAACCAGGTACCTGTGGGCAAACGGAGGCCAGGGGAAGGGAGGGGATTCCGGGGTCATTGCCCTGGAGGAACCACTGGCTCGTGAATGGACCTAACAAGCATCTCTTCCCCAACCCCAGCGTCCTCATCAGGGAGTAGGATGAGGCTGCTCTGTCACCTGGTCTACCTGGGGTCAGAGGGCACATAGCAGGCAGATCATGAGTTCTCTGTCCAATCCTGGCATGACCTGGAGTGGCTGTACTGCAGCACAGAGAAAAGGTGGACACCAGGCTCCTCTCCAGGCCCTCTCCAGGGGCTCTTCTCTGGGAAGACCACTGCAGTGATCAGCTCCTTCCCCCAGGACCCTACAGACTCCCCTTGTCATTCATGAAGGCACAGCCCTCCCCTGAGGGAGTGTTTTAAACACAAAGTCTCCAAGGTGCCATGGCATTGTCATAGCCTACTACCATGCTGTGAGGACAAAGCTTGCAGTAGGACCTAGACTCTGACTCTGATAACTACCTTACTCCCCACACCACAGCCCTCACCAGCAAGGACATTGTCCCAAATTTGCAAAGTAGATGTCAGGCTTAGAGAGGCATGTGTATAAAGAAGGGGCTAGGTCAGGGTCACACCTGACCCAGTCCCGAGACCCAGACCCAACAGACCCCTCTGATGTTTGATGAATGAATAAATGGCCCGGCAGGAGGATCTGTAAAGACTTGGAGCACAGAGTCCTCTGCACCCTACACCATGTTCTTGGGGACTCAAAAGATGCCTCTGGCACCCGACAGGGTTGGGGAGAAGCTCACTCGATGATTCGCTCCTTAGGATTAAAGGGAGACAGGGAGTCCAGGCCCAACCGGTTCACTACCTGGAAAAAGAAATGCATTGGGGTGAAACAATACTCCTCCTGTATCTCCCACATGAGGAAGGCTGACTCTGGGAGAGGTCATGCAATGTGTTAGTCATCTCTCCCAGTTCACGCTATGTTTCCACCCTAAACAGCATTTTTATTGGGAGCAGGGTATAGTTGGCGCACACTCTATTCCCATGAGAAGCCCTGTTGACTTCCACATCCAAGCTGCACCACACCTAGGGCAGCAAGTCAAGTCCAGATCAGCCACCCTAATATAATTCTGTTGTTGTTGTTGTTTGTTATTTGTTTGATTGTTGTTGGCTTTTTCTTTTCTTGTTGTGTACCATCCAATCAGATCCGACTGGCACAGGAGGAGCTTGTCGCTCCTTCTCCAGAAGAGCCTCTGGTGGATTTGAACCATGCGCCTTCACGATTGCAGTGCCCCTTCTTGCCACTAGGCCACCAGAGCTCCCTCCTGTACATAATTCTTTTTTTTCTTTTTTTCATAATTTAGTTTGTTTATTTTTCATTTCAATGAACATCTACAGAGATTTTGGAATTCCATTCATTCATTGTTGCACCCTTCTCCCCGCACAAACCCCTCCATAATTCTTGATCAAATTAACTACTCTTATGCTACTCACTGGGGTAAATGAGGCCTAGAGAGAGAAAGTGTCCACTCATGATTATTTAACAAGCTAAACATTCTAAGGAATATCACTTTCACCAATTGTATTCACACAGTACTGGAATATCTAGCCCAAGCAATTAGACAAGAAAAAGAGAGAAAAGTCCTTTAAATTGACAATGAGACAATAAAACTTGCACTATTCTTTTCACAAATGACAAGATCTTATATATAGAAAATTTTAAGAGCATACACACAAACTGCTAAAGCTAATAAATGAATTCAGTCAAATTGCAGGATACAAAATTGGTATGTGAAATCAGATGTATTTCTATACATTTAAAATCTTAAACTCATTTCTATTCAAGTCAGAACCATCTCATAACTGATTCTCTGGCTAATTTTCAGAGGCTGTAACTCACACAGGAAGAGAATGCCCATCTTTCTCTCTTGGTGCCACTAGTGAGTTTAAACTGCCAGAGAAGGGCCGCGTTTGGTTAAGAAGTACAGCCCTCTACAGACTACACCGTCAGAGCTCCCTAGCAACAAGCAATCCAAAAAGGTATTTAAGAAAACACTTCTATTTGCAATGGTATCAAATAGATTAAAATGCTCGTTAGGAAATCAAGAATAAATACAACCAAAATTTGTACATCATGCAAGATTTATATATTGAAAATAATCTTTAAAACTCTAAAAGATACAGAAAATCTAAATACACATGGCCCTCATTTATCAACTATCACACTATTTAAATTCCACATTTTCACAATAGCAAAAAATCTACTATATTTTGCTCATTGACAACTTGTGCCAGCAGTAGTAGTGCTGAGGTTCAAAGAAAGAATAATTGTGGATGTAAGGGTGAAGGTTATGAGTCAACCAGACGGTTCCATGATTCTTAGTGCTGTAGAAGCAGGTACATAATGACTTAATTTGGCAGTTGTGTAAGGGTGTAGTCATCCTTCATTTTGTGATTTGATGTGGTCATCTTCCACTTTTGCATAATACCTAATTTAAGTAATAAACTGATATTTTAAATCTAACCATTTTTATAAGTGAGGAGTGAGTGTAAATGAAAAGACAGCCATGTTCTTGCACTGGAAGGAAGATCTAAGATTTTTTAAAAAATATGGCACTAAAAATGCAAGCAGCAAAGTAAAAAATAGAAATACTGAAAGTAATAAAATTTAAAGTTTGTATACATCGATGGTAGTTTACATCTATCTGTTAGTCTACATGTACTCAGTTGTACATAGGGTTTTCAGAGGCATGCTGTTTCAGAAGTGGATGGCCAATCCTTTTTCCTAGTCTATCTTAATCTCAATGCTCAGATTTAGGAAAGTATCTGACAGACAAGCATTTTACAGAAAAAAAGCAGATAAAAGATAGTTCCCCAATTGTGGACTTAACCATTAGTCAGTGTTGTCCCTGCTCTTGACACAAGTGTCTTGACCCACTTATTTCCCTGCTCCACCATCCACCAGCATCCCCTTCTACTCCCACCCACTCCCTTCAACACCTATCTCCCATAGTCCAGCCCTTGATCTGATAGCTTGTATCTCAAGCTTTGTGGGCTTCTGTGATTCCAAACACCTGCTGCTGACAATTTCTTATGCTGTGGCAGTGTCTCTTGAGTTTAGGGGTAATGTTTTCCAAGAGAGGGTGATGTGTCCTGAAGAATGGGAATCTCAAAACACTTGATTGAGCTAATGTGAAACCTGTACTTGGACCAGGAGGCAGTTGTCAGAACAGAGCAAAGAAACACTGTATGGTTCAAAATTGGGAAGGGTGTATGCCAGGGATGTGTCCTATCTCCATACCTTTTCAACCTGTATGCAGAACAGATTATCCGAGAGGCTGGGTATGAGGAGAAGTATGGCATCAGAATTGGAGGAAGACTCATCAACAATCTACATTATGCAGATGACACAACCCTGCTTGCTGAAACTGAGGAGGACCTGAAGTGCTTGTGGCAGAAGGTCAAGAACTGCAGCCTACAATATGGATTGAGGCTCAGTATCAAGAAGACAAAGATTCTCACCACTGGGCCAATTGGCAGCATCAGGATGGATGGTGAAGAGATTGAGATTGTTCACAGCTTTTCGTGTGCTTGGCTCCACAATCAGCACTCTTGGCACCAGCAGCCAGGATGTTAAAAGACATATTGCCATGGGAAAGTCTGATGTTAGGGACCTCTTCAAAGTACAGAAGAGCAATGTTGCCACTCTGGAGATTAAGGTGCACCTGATACAATACATAGTCTTTGCAATCACTTGCTATACATCAAAGAGCTAGACAATGACTAGGGAGGATAGAAGGAGAATTGAGGTCTTTGAGCTGTGGTGTTGGAGAAGAGTATTGAATATACCATGGACTGCTAAGAAAACAACAGATTCATCCTGGAGAGGGTTAGACCAGGCTGCTCCTTGGAGGCAAGGATTCTGAAGCTTCATCTGACAAACTTTGGACATGTTGCAAGGAAAGACCAGTCCTTGGAGAAAGACATCATGCTTAGGAGGGTGGAGGGACAGCACAGGAAAGGAAGACCCTCTATGAGGAAGGTTGATTCAGTGACTGGGGTAATTGGGATGGGTGTGTTGGAGACAGTGAGACTGGCACAGGACAGAGCAGGGTTTAGTGCTGTTGTATATAGGGTTGCTATGAGTCTCAGGTAACTCAATGGCACTTAACAACAACCACCACATACATCGATGGACTCCATCAAGAGAATGAGATTACAATCTACAGAATAGGAGAAAATATTTGCAAATCACATATCTAATAAGGATTTAAAATTGTTGTTGTGTGCCATCGAGTCAGAACTGACCCATAGCTGTCCCTCCAATGGGTTATTTCTGAAAACGTTAGACCTAAAGTTACCATACAACCCAGCAATTCCTTTCCTAGGTACATACCCAGAAGAACTGAAAATAGGGATATATGCATATTTGTGTGTGAATATTCATTATTGTAGAGTTGATTGGAAAAATGGGGGAACCCAGGAGTCCTTCAACAGATGATTGGACAAAAAAAGGTAGTCTAGCATCTCCGTGGCAGTCTCCTCTTGATGGCGGTCTTGTAAGGGAAATTTCTGGGGTCATATTTGTTGTATGTTACTGTTCTTCCTCCCCTCCCCTAAAAAAAAGCAGGTGGCCCTTGAGCCTTTGACTAAGGGTGGAGGCCTGCTAGAGGGTGTGGCTTCTTTAAAAGACACAGCTGTACTGAACAACTTGGAGTTGCTGTGATGCTGAACACTGTTCCACAGTCGTGTCAAATACCATAATGGTTACCCATTATGAACAATGTTTGGATATGCGTCCATGTTAATTCATGTTGGAAAGCAGGAATGGCATACACTTTCTAAACTAGATGCCTCTGGAAACTCTACAAACTCTCTAAACTCTGTAAATGTACAGAAATAATGTTAATTATAGAACAGAGTTCAGGTCTTTTATGCAAAGCTTACTCTGAGTCGTATTCAAATCGATGACACATAACCACTGTTAAATGAGGCACTAGTGCTGTTATATCTGGAGGAACACTCTTCCACTTTGCACATCACTCTTTGTCAATGTGCTGTACAAAGTAACCTGGATTTGCTGTAACGCTGAACCTTGTGCCATTGGGGTATCAAATGCCTTAATGGTTTCCCAATGTGGACAGTGTTTGGTGGAGTTGTAAAACAGGTTTGGAAGCCGAAGTGACATCCACTTCCTAAACCACATGCCTCTGGAAACTCTATGAACTTGGAGAAATGGTGGTAGTTATGGAAAGGCATTAGGTCTTTTGTTCATAGAGTCACTATGAGTCGTCCCAGACTCGACGGTAATCAACAACAACAACATACGTAATATTCAGCCATAAACAGAAGCCATATTATTATTCAGCCACAAAAAGAAGTGAATTTTTGATACATGCTAGGAAAAGGATGATGCACACATTCAAATGCCTTGGCATAATTAATAATGCACAAACAAACATCTTTCTGGTATTCTCCGATTTCAGAGAAGGTCCATTTGTCAACAGCAATGATATCGCTCATTCTGTTCTAAATCCATCTTGAATTTCTGGTAGTTCTCTATCAGTGTACTGGATATCAAGTTCTTTATCAATGCCATTTTTTAAAATCATCAGCAAGGTCTTACTTGTATATAATATTAATGATATCTGTCCATAATTTCATCACCCTGTTGAACTACCATTTTTGGGAATGAGAATAAATATTTTGGCAAGTTTTATGGGAAGCAGAAATATCCTTCCATGCATAAAATGTACAAATCTCTCTGTGTCTGCAACACACGCTAGAACAATAATCAATAAAGGCACCCGAGTAAGAATCTTCTTTGTAGTGTTATTTGGGGCTTTTTTTTCTTAAATTTTATTATTTTGTGTGTGTGTACCATCAAATCAGATCTGACTGGTCCAGGAAGAGATCGTCCCTCCTTCTCCAGCAGAGCATCTGGTGGATTCAAACCACGTACCACTGGGATTGCAGTGCAGCTTCTTGCCACTAGGCCACCAGAGTTCCCTTGTAGTGTTATTGTAAAAAGGTCCCACCACTGAGAGTGTGCTGTGAAATAGGCATACATTGAGACAACCTGTTCTGCTCTAGAAAAATGGAGATACTGGGGACCACTGGGAGCCCTTTTCTGACAGGTCTTGAGACTCAGCTCTTCACAATGACCCCTGCAGGAGATGGGGCCCTGAAAGGTGACTGGGCAAAACTGGAGCTGAGTAGCCCCATTGTAGTATCTGTCAGCCAGGAAGTGAGGCACAGAGAAGACACTTCCCCTGCCTCCCCACTCCCACCAGAGCAGCAGAGCCACATCAGAGTGCCTTGTATTCTCTGTGCAGAGAATTGTCTGCAGTTTGATCTGCTCTTGAGTGATAAAGTTGAAGAGGTTTATCCAAAGTCACATGTTCATAGCTAAACACAAGTTCAAGAGATTGTCCCTTTTCAGGATAGATTAACAGGGGGAAACAGGAAACATACTGAAGATTCAGGGTAAGTGCTAAACTCTGAATATGAGCTAACACAGGAACCAAAAGAAAATCTCTGGGCTTCTTGAGAGGGTTCAAAGAGACAGAGCTTTTAAGATAGAACCAGGAAGTGGGCATCAGACCTAATCTCTCCTTTAGAGTGGTGTCTCCTTCCCCATGCAGCTGAGAGACACCCACCCCGCTTAAACTTCCTCTGTGTTCATGCAAGTCACAATATAAATGTTCCATGGAGGGAAGCCTGACCAATGGGCCAAGTCTGACCAAGATTACAGCTTGGATGTGATGCCTCCAACATCAAAACACTGCCCCTCACCAGGAAGCATCCAGTTTGTTCACATTCCCCCAGATCTGGCACCTCCCCTGCCCCTCCACCCTGGGAACCCAGCCTACCAGCCTGATTCTGTGTTCCTCCTCCAGGATAAAGAGGTTCTCCTTCTCACAGTAGAAAGCTGCAGCATCCAGAATGGCCTTCAGAGGCACCAGGCCCACTAGCTGAGAGCCGACAACTGGAAGGTTCAGATCCTGCAGAGGCAAAAGGTAGTCAAGACAACACACCCAGGGATGCTTGACCTTGAGGACGGATGCTTCTGTTGGTAGGTATCCTATCCCATGTACCTGGGTGGATTCCACACCAATTCTCCCCCTAATGCAGCCATCTAGAAGTACCTGGATGGATCCTCTCCCTCACAGCCAGGTGGGGGCACCTGCCTTGTGGGCTACGTGTCATTTACTACTTTACAGCTGTAAGCAACCTTGTTATTCTGAGGTTCTTAATAAGATTCAGGAATGGGGATTCCAAGTCAGATGACAAGCAGTCATGCTTGTCAAGGGTGCATGTTCCTACCTATGTCTTAACAAGCAAGACCATGCACAAGTCCCCTTACTACTCTGTGCCTCAGTCTCCTCGTCTCCTCACCTGTGCCATGAGGCTGGAAACGATTTCCCATTCTACCCACCCTTCCCAGCCAGAAGACACACCTCTCACCTGCGCTTCTCTGCAGATCTCCTCATAGACCGTGTGCAGTGCTGTAACCTCAAAGTCCAAGAGATTCGTGGACACCTGAGCCAGGTTCTTCTCATCCAGGTACCAGCCAATGCCCTGAACCTTTTTCAGACGTCCTGGCTGTCAAAAGACAAGTCATTCCCAGTCCAGGCTAATGGAGCCCACTCTGTCCTACTCAGCCTTCTCTATAACCTGGCCTGAAGCCTCACTCAGCCTGTGTCCTCCAGATGGCCAGCCTAGAGGTCTGCACAGTGGAGAGGGTCCTATGCGTCTTGGGACGGAGGGAGCTGGTAGAGGGGTGTGTACATCTGTCTCGGACTTCCTTGCAAAATGATGCTTAACTAAATGACAACTGCTGTGTCAGGATAGGGGCACTATCCTAAGAGTATCTCAAGATAACTGGGGTGCCTAGGGATACATGGGGCACCTAAAGGTACTTGAGAGTGCTATTGCAATATTTTAACAAGTACAGTCTTGCCGCTGTGTAAAATGGCTTTAGAAAAAGCTTTCCCCAACCGAGACAACCCAAAGCCCTCACCCTGTCCATACGTCATGGACCCTGAAGTAGGGCTTGGCTGGTCATCAGCAGTCAGGCTGAGCCACTGGCCACACAGCCCAGGCCCGGTCTGCCCTGCCCAGTAGACCCGCTCCCAGGGTTGCTCCCCCGAGGCTGGCCTCGGCCTGTCACCCTGTTCAGGGACACAGCAGGACTCATTAGGGACTAACCTGGTCTTTCCCTCGGCCTTGCTCCCGCAGGTTGAGGGCAATGCGATGTGCCTGCTCCTTGGTGCTGAGCAGGTTGATGTTGAAGGCAATGAGGAACTTACGCGCCCCGGTGACAGTAGCCCCCCAGCTAGGAACAAAGGTGTTGGGGCCAAAGTCAGGTGCCCATTCCGCCTGCTTGAGCTGTGGAGGGATTCGCCTGAATGAGTTCTCCTCCAGGGGGATGTGTGGGCTCAGGGTCTGGGAGAAGAGGCAAGACCCACCCCCCCACACAGAACACTAGAAAGTAGGGTGCTGGACAGGGCCCACCACACTGCTGCCAATGGCCACCTCTTCCCCAGGATCTGCCTGCCACAGGGAAGTCACACCTTCTCAGGAAGTGCCTCATACTCCCCGACCCGGATGGCTGGCAGGGCTCGGCGACTGGCCGTCCTGGCTGCCTCCCCATATAGGTACACTGCAAGGGAAGCACTGGTCAGGCCTGGCCAGCTGGAGATCAAACCCCGACAGAGCAGACAATCAAAGCAGGGCCCCTCTCCTCCACCTCTCCAACCTCCTTGGAGAACCATCCCAGGCCCTGCCCTCCACCCTACACCACCACCACCGAGCAGGGTCTCAATCCCCATCCCAGCCTAACTCCCTGTGCAAAGAGGCCCTGGCACCGTCTCGCTGCAGTCACAGGAGTGACCATTGTTTGTCCCTGTGGAAAATGTTGGTGAAAAAATGGTCACATTTCTCTTAAAAGAAGGGTTGTACAATTTGATGGGTGGGAGGGGTGAGGGAAATTGAAAGAATTAGTTCAAATTTGAATTAAAATTTTGTAAATAAACTAGTAGAGAAAAAAATAATTTGAGACAAAGAAAAAAAAAATGTAGTTTTGTTGTATAATTCATACAAATATAAATACAGCCACAACAGAAAACAAAACTCTCTTTCAACTCCTACCACTGTAACCACGTTTGTATGTATAGTTTGCCTGGCACTCAAATGCCCCAGAGGCTGTTGGCCCGTGATCCATCTGGCCATCCCCTTCTACTCCATTGTTCCCACCTGTCCTGTTCGCACAGTCATGCTCTTCATTTAATCCCGCCCCCCGTGACATTTTTGCCGTTATCAGTCACTGCTGAGTGGGCTCTGACTTATGACGGCATTATGGGTAACAGAGCCAATCGTTGCCAGCCCTGGGTCACCTTGATGATCTTGGTATGTCTGAGTGCATGCTTGTGACTATTGTTATCAGTCCCTCTCACTGAAGTTATCCTCATTCTTGCTGGCCTCACAGCCATGATGCTCTTTGATCGCAATCATTCTTTCCTGATGACATGCCCAACGTAAGCAAGGCCAGGCTCACTTCTAAGGAGCAATCTGGTTGCACCTTTTTGTACTGATAGTACTGATTTGTAATAATGTTCTCCTGGCAGTTGACAGTGAAGTTATTCCGTTAGGACGCAGGGTGGTTTTCTCTGGTACCTCACACAGATGATAAGCAGTCCTTCATGCTGTGGGCAAGGCTAGACCATGAGTGCCAGCCTGTGTCCCCTGGCAGATGGGTTGTGAGGCATCTGTGGCCCTTTCCACTTGTGTTTATTTCTTTAGTGAAGAAGCAGCAGGGCTCTAGGTCTTAGTCTGCTCACCTGAGCTTTGTTCTGTAATAACTTCCAGTTTTATGAAGCTGCCCATAAATACCATAAATAGTTCCTGACGGGAAGTGGCCAGACACGATGTGAGTAGGACCCCCGAGGGCCCTCCTGGGAACACTCACCCGGCACACTCAGTTCCTCTGCCAGCCGCTGGCCAAAGGCCTCCGCACACAGCACACACTCCTCCATGCTAACATCCCTGACCGGAATGAAGGGGCAGACGTCCAGGGCGCCCATCCGTGGGTGCTCCCCTGCAGAGATGGGGGTTTGGATTGAGGACAGGACCAGAACAAAAGTCCAGGATGGGACAAATGTCAGCGAGACACCAAGGAGCCACCCTACCTGCTCAGTGAGGCTTGCTCCTTGCTGACCCAGCAGACCCACACCTCACTTGCTCAAACTGACCAGCCACTCTCAATGAACAGTTCCTGCCAGGATGGCCTGCAGGGATGCAAAGGCATCCCCAGGGAAGAAGTGATGTTTCGCTTCCTCCCAATAAGCTCCACCACCATCAGCAGCCCTGCTTCTCTCCTAAAAGCTGCCTAGGTACCCTAGGGCTGCACTCAGCTTGCAGGGGGTCCTGGTCGGGCTGGAAGCACTGACCTTGCCGGGCTCCCGTTGTCCCAGCCCCCACACACTGCTCCCACTGGCATCTGGGGATTTACACTGGTCCTGGGGAGGGGTCTTTCCAATGAGACCAAGTCATCAACCTCACCATTTCTGCCTTCAGACTTGGCTCCACTCTGCTCCCTCTAGTCAGACAGGTGGCCCCTTAATTTTCTTTATACCACTTATCAGCCCCCAACTTGGGATCATTTGTGAATCCCCTCAGACCCCTGGCCTTTTGACTGACACCCGCGCATCTGCTGACCTTTGTCCCCACCCACCTCTGTTTGGATCTGAGTGTTATCGGGTGTCAGGCCCCTGACCCTTCTTCCGCCCCTGCAGCACGGTCTGGCCTACAGGGTTTGTGGGCGGACCTCACAGTCAGCCAGGGATTGGTGTGGGTGATGTGGGCGGTACCGGGGCTCTGAGGTGCTCTCCTCTGTGCTGGGAAGCAGTGACCTCAGTAATGGGAGAAACAGGCTGCCAGGGCGGTAGGGAACAGCCTCCCTCAACCTGGAGTCTCAGCAACACCTAGGGACACTAGGTCTGCAAAGAGAGGCCTGTGCTCGCTCCTCTGAGCCTCAGGGTCCCTGTGGACAGCCACGCCGGGTCCCCGGATGTTTCTAGATACAGACCAGGTCCCACGTCCAGCCATCCTGATGACTTGTCCCATGGCCTGCTCTCGTGTCCCTCCCACCAGGAGTCGCACCCCACAACCCCACCTTTGTGTCTGCTCATGTCGATGAGCCGGGCAGCCACCCGGGCCGCATTGAGGGCTCCTTCAACCACATCCTCAGGCTGCCCCACAAAGGTGTAAACGGTGCGATTGGTGGAGGGACCCGCATCCACGTCCAGCAGCACACAGCCCGGGGTCTGTGAGATGGCCCTCGAGATGGCCTCGATCACCTGTGAAGCAGAAGCCAGCTGGTGCCTTAGTCTCTCACTGCATCAGGGAACCAGCGCTTCGGAGTGACAGTGGCACACCTGTCCTACATGCCATAACACGGTCTAATGGGGCACTGTTGAGCGTTTGGGGACTCCTTGTGGTCCCTCAAGTGTGCAAGATAAGAATGCACAAGATGGTGACCACCAAGTGCCAGGAGGCCCCATCACAGCTGGGAGGGGAAAGGGAGAAACTGAGACAGTGACAGGACCCCACAAATGACCAATGCTCAGAAGGGAGCAGCCAGAGCTTCCAGAAGCTGACCAGCTGACCCAAAGTCGCAAAGGATCCCATCTCTTGTACTTCCTCATATAGCCTTTTAAAGGGCAAAACCCGCTCCCACCCCAAAGTGTACGGTGGAGGCAGTGCTGAGCAGGGGAGAAACGGCCTGGGGAAACTTGGAGAGATGGCAACACTGCCCGGTCATCGGAAACGAGGGCTCAGGATCCAGATCCTGCTGCGTGGCTGTCAGTGGTCTGCTTAACCGCTCGGTACCTCTGTGTCCTCAGTGGTAAAGTGAGAATAATAACAGAGCTCACTTAATACAACTGGGGAATTCAGTGAGTTGACACACGTGTGAGGACATTATGAACTCTGCGGGCACACATAGGAGACTTCCCATGTGACCCTCAAAACAGTCCTTTGGGGCCCTATTTTGAAATAAGAACAGCCCCTCTTCCTGGGTGCCCATTTACCTACCTCCCACTGTCTCCTCTCTCTGACCACTGTAACACCTGATTCCAGTCACTCCCAAGTCCCCTGGCACAGGGCCATGCCCCCCGTGGATTGGCACTCATTCTAGGTAGACAAGCTCCCAATTCATATTAACAACCCCCCTCCATCTTGGTCCAAACACCGTACACTGCCCTCCAGCCAGTTCCCGGGGGCCCTCACCTCCTGGCTGTTCCCCTCTGAGAAGTTGGGGACACATTCCACCAGCTGAGGCATGGTCAGAACCTGGGAGGGAGGGATTCTCTCCAGTGTGCACCCAGAGGGGCCCCTGCGCTGCTTGGAACTTTATCCCCCAACCAGCCCCTCCCCACAGCTGGGCTTCTTATTAACCACCAGGTCACAGCTGCAAAGGTCAGCCCAGCTCGGACAGCAGGACAATCAGCATGTTAGTGTGAGTATGAGGAGTGCATGAGATGTGCGTGTGTAAGATAGTACCTGAGTGTGTGTGACTTGAGTGTACCCATGTGGGTGTGCATGTGAGTATGCTGTGTAGAAGGCATGAGCTCTGTGTGTGCTCATGAATGCACCATGTGGGTGCCATAGGGGCTGAGTGTGCCATATGGGTCACGTGTGAGTGTGCTGTGTCCTGCTAGAGGGGCAAGCAGGGGGTAGAAGACCCCAGCTCCCCTGCTATTGCACCCTAAGGCCCCAGCGGGGCAGGAGCAGGGCCAGGTCACAGGTGTGGACAGGCATAACCCACAGGGCCCCACCCTTTTGTAACATTACTGCCATCATGAAATTCTTCATGCTTCTCAACAAGGGATCCCGGAGATTGTGTAGCTGGTCCTGGCAGCACTTAGGCAGCATGTAAGACCCAGGCCTCCTAATCCCGGAATCCAAACCTGCCCCTTCCTCTCCACATCCTCCCCCAGGAGCAGGCTGAGTTCCACTGTCATTTATTGTCTGCATGGACTCATCTCCCTTCCAGGAAGAGCTTCCTTGCCTTCACTGTCTGAGGCTACCTCAGCCCCATGCAGGGCTAGGTGGGGCCTTGGGGCCCTGGGCACACAGACACCCAGACCGCACAGATTCTCAACTAAAGTGAGCCCTGGGGATCCCAAGTCTTCCACAGCTGTGCACACGGATGAGCCACAGAACAGAGCCACTGACTGTGAGAGGCCTTGTAACTTCCAGAGGTGGGTCTGGGAGGGCAGAGAAACCCCATTATACCCCATAAAGGACCAAGGAAGCCCATAGTCCCTCAGAGGCCTAAGGTAAACTAACATTTCCAAACTCAAGGGTGGGAGATCCTGGGTGGGTCAAGGCCCTTACCAAGCCTCTGTTCTCCACAAATGGATATGGAAACCGTCCTTAGGGTTGGCTTCACAGGGCCATGCATGGCACAAGTGCTCAGCAAAGGGCAGCCTTCCCTCTCTGCTCTCTGACTGTCTGCAATCTGCAGCCTTTGTCACAGACCATGGCAGTCTCAAAGACCCTCAGAGAAGTAATGAACATGGCCTCAGGCTGCTCAAGCCATGAATTTCTCAGCCTGAGGGATCTGTGTCTGGTACCTGCACTTCCTTCCCACAATTGATCTTCATTTTGGGAGGGGCATTTGGGGCTGTACAGTGCTAGGGCACCCAGATACATTTATACTGTAAGGATAGCAGGGCAGTACATTTCACATCAAGACCAGCCTAGAAAACCCAAGAGCTTCTTCCTTGTACCCATTCAGAGAAGTTGTGGCAAACCCCAGGAAGGTTAGCATGCAGGTGGGCCTCCTGCTGGCCTTAAAGGACTGTGGTGGGTGAGTCAGCTCTCTGTCTGTGGACACAGCTCAGTCCACAGGCAGGGAGGGAAAGAGGTTATGTTTCTATAGATGGGCTCAGAGCTCAAATGACTGGAAACACAATGTCCCAGGGACAGAGCTCATTATGAGGTCGAGGACTATTTTCCAGGAGTAGCTTTGAGGCAGGTAAAAACTCTGGTTGATGCTCTAACTCCTGAACAAGGGGCCCAAGGAGATTCCACCATCTTCTCCAGCATCCAGATGGCAACTTTGGCTCCTTAAAGAAATTATTGATTATATAACTAGAGTCTCTCCTAGCTCCAGGAAGTAAAGATATGCTCACACACATACACACATATACACTGTTGTTGTTGTTGTTGTTGTTAGGTTCCATTGAGCTTACTGCAAGCCTCCTGTGTGACCCCATGAACAATAGGGCTGTCACTTGCCTTATCCCGCACCATCTTCACATTCTTGGAGAAGCTCGAGTTCATTGTTACAGTCACTATGTCAGTCTGTCTCATTGATGGCCTTCCTCTCTTTGTCTAATCCTCTCCACTTTCCCCAGTGTGATGTCTTTTTTCAAGGACTGCCCTTCCTGACAATGCGCCCACAGTATATGAGATGAGGTGTCATCATTCTTGCCTCTAAGAAGCACCCTGGTTGCACTTTCTCCCAGGCAGACTTGTTTGTTCTTTTGGCAGTCCGTGGAGGGATATTCAATACTCTCCTCCAACACCACAAGTCAAATATAATTGATTCTTCTTTTGTCATCCTTATTTAGTTCCCGATTTCCTGATGCATGAGAAGCTACTGAATAGACCGTGGCTTGAGTCAGGTGCACCTTAGTCTTTAATGATGAAGAGTGGAAAAGGACTCAAACAATTGAAAGATATCAATAGCCAAAGTGAGAACAATCTGAGCAATAAAATAATATTGGATTATAACTCAAAGTATAAAATAAATAATACAAATTATTTCATAAATGAATCAGAGTGAAGAAATGCATTTCCAGTGCAGAATCCTAAATAACTTGTGTGAGTTCTCTGCTCAGACATAAATAGAGTGTAACTCTCCGCTTTTAATGTGGACTGTGAATAGTGATTTCCTTCCAAAAAAGTACAGTAGGTAAAGGAGGTGGTGTTGAAACCTAACAAACACTACCTCAGCTAGGCAATCAAAGTCAACATCAACAGAGATAAGCATGTTGACAGTATGAGTATTTAATATGATGTAATGGAAATGGTGCTTTATCGCTGGTCTTCTCCAAACTGGTAACAACCAGTCTTATGAGAAAAAAATATCAGCCAAGTCTCCACAGAAGAACATCCTACCCATACCTGATCAGAACTCCACAAAACTGCCAGTGTTATCAGAAACAAGGAAAATCGAAGAAACTGTCATAGTTCAGAGGAGCCCAAGGCATATAATGACCAAAGACAATGTGATGTCTGAGTGGATCCTGCCACAGAAAAAGGAAATGGAGTAAAGGAATGAAAAAGTCGGAAGAGATATTTTCGTTAATAATAATGTATTTGTACTTTTCATTAAACAGAACTCTGTTGGCATAATTCATAGGTAATTGTGCTGCTAACGCAAAGGCTATACCTCTCTGGAGGTTGGAACCCACCAGCAGTTCCTCAGGAGAACTATGGGCAATCTCCTTCAGTGAGATTTAAAGCCTCAGAAACACCATGGAAGGTCAGTTCTGAGGCATTTCTGACTCAAGGCAGTGAGGATTTGTTGTTGCTGTTCATGAAAGTGTTCTGATGGTGCAGTGTGTAGAACGGAAACTTGAACCATCAGTGGCGCTAAGGGATGTGTGGAGGGACTCAAACCTCCAGCCTCACAGTTTGCAGCATTAACAGTTTTCAGAACCTATATATCATCGAGTCTGAACCCCCAGAGGTGACCCTCTAGCAGGTTTTCAAAGGCAGTAAATCACATGAGAGGAGATTGTCCATCTTTCTTCCACAGAACAGCTGGAGAATGTGAACCTTGTGCCTTTTGGCTGGCAGTGCAGCTTCCTCACCAGCAGGCCCCCAGAGATCCCTATATATATGTTCTTTTTATAAATACATGCTCCCAGGGCTTAGGCAACTCCCATTGCAGCTTTGATTGTGAAAGTACTAGAAGTTGGTCCAGCTACTTCAGGCTGCCCTAAAGCTTATCATGTAGAGGGGGGCACTCCTTGGACATGTGATTTTGTCTTCCTCCCCTGCTTATTGTGGCGTTTTTCAATATGACTATTCCTAGCCATTATTTGACTTTGCCATGTAGATGGGTAGGGATATGGGAATGGAGTGTGTTCACCTATCCTCAAGGGGATTGGCAATTTATCATTCCAAAAGGGCATTGGTCAATCTCAATAATCTGTAAGTAGATTGGCTAGTCTTTCCACTACCTTAGCAAACCAGCAGAGAGAAGCAGACAGATCTCCTGGAGCCACTGAACAAAAAGCCAGGGAATGTAGTATGCCCTTCTTGTTCCAACTACACCAATGGCTGCAACACCTAAGGCTGAACTGGACACCTGACATGAGATAGGACATTGGGGAGTGGAGAGAGCCAATATTGGCAGGACTGAGAACTTTATTGGTGAACTGGAGGTGGGAAGCCAATGTTAATAGGATTGAGAACTTGGGAACACTGGCCTAAAGCCTCAAGACTTGATACTGAGGTGCCTACTTGCAAATTTTGGGAGTTGTCTTGACTGTATATTATTATTAATCTGAATTAGAACCTTTTGACTTCTTTAATATGGTTCTGTGTGGTCTGTGAGCTATTGCATTAGACTTTGGACCCAGAAAAGCAGTGCCATGGTTGTTGAGATGAGTTAGAAGAGGTACAGGAGCATGGGGGACAAGTCTGACCTCATGGGAATTGTTTTTGTGTTATTGATGCTGTGGATGGGGTCAATTCCCCTTGGTGAAGTTGGTACAGGTCAGATGCCATCTCCATGTGGCGCTTGCCCTTTTTACATTACCGACCTCTGAGTCTGATCTACCACACACCCTCTTGCTCTACTTTCCTTTCCCCCTTCCTCCCATTTGTAGTGTAAGAGGAAGAAGGTTTGTCTTGGGAGGTAGGCATTCTTCTGGCTGGGAAGTTGTACTTTTCTGCAGAGATTTCTTAGTTTGAGGCGGGGGGGTGGGGGGGGTGGGGAGTGGAGGAATGCTGCCAGAGCCTCTGGGGAGTTTAGGCAATGCAATGTCGCCCCTTCTCATGACTCTGACACAGTGTGGTCGCCACCCATGGCTGAGGTTCCTCCCTCCATGCCAACTCCAGCCCACTTACATCCAAAGGGCCTCAACTTTTATGTCTGGCTGCCTGCTCTGAAGTTGGGCCTGGGGCCCATCTGTGAGCATTGACAGCACTTCTGCCTCCACGTCGCTGAAAAAACCTGTTCGAAAGTGATGTCATCCCAAAGCTGCTGCATCATGAAGGCTGCTCATCTACTGCATCTTTTGCCTCCAGCTGTGGTGACTGGGCGGTGGCCTGTTAGGTGAGGGAAAGGATGTGCGATGGGAACTGCTGGATAAACACCCCAGGTCCCAGTCTCCTGGAACAATTCTGCGGACACCCCAACCGGCCTCTCAGGGGTCCTGTATTTTGACTCTCCCTTCCTTTTTGTCTCTTCTTTCTCCCACCTCTCCCAATAGACGAGCCACACCTGTTGTTGTTGTTATGCGTCGTTTGCGACTCATAGCGACCCTATATACAACAGCCCTAAACCGTGATCTATCTGTGCCAATCTCATTGCCTCTGACACACCCATCCCGATTACCCCAGTCACTAGAGGGTCTTCCCCTCCTGCGCTGTCCCTCTACTCTACCCAGCATGATGTCCCTCTCTAAAGACCTGTCCTTACAACATGTCCAAAGTATGTCAGATGAAGCCCCAGAATCCTTGCCTCCAAGGAGCAGCCTGGTTTAACCCTCTCTAGGATGAATCTGTTTGTTTT